GTTGCAATTGAAAGGTTTGATTAGCATCTACTGCATTAGCGTGTGCCTTACCTTCCCCCTCGGGTTGAAATTCTGTGCTGAAGCATTTGTCGCCTGTTGGCCTCTCTCCGCCTTCTTTCTTCTGAGGAATCGCTCTGCTTGTTCTCCTCGGACCTTCAGATCCTTCCATGTCTTGGACGGTGCTGTCCACATTGCTTCCAACACGTCCAGGGCGAGGTTGTTGTGGCAAGTCTGGAGGATGAATTCCTCGGTGATCGGGTCCCGACAGTTCATCGCCTTGTTCCGGAACCTCTTGACGAAGGTGTCCACCAATTCTCCATCTTTCTGCTTCTCGTCCAGCAACGACCCGATGGATATCTCTGTGTCGTCGTCAAAAAAGTTGGCGAGGAACTTGGTCTCCATGTCGTCCCAGCTGTTCACACTACCTGGCTTGAGGCGGCGATACCAATCGAAGGCGGCTCCGCGAAGAGTGCCAACGAATGACCGCACCATTAGAGGCTCATTGCCAGAGATAACTCCCAGGTGCGATTTGAAATAAATCAAATGTTGAGTGGGGGAACCCATCCCATTAAACGGCGTGAAGTTAATTAGATTGAACTTCGCCGGATATGGGATTGATTCCCACTCTCTTGGGTATGGGCAAGGAATGCCTGTTTTCTTCATCTCTTGAGCGGAAATCAACGTATTGATTTTGCTCTCGAGATTTTTAATCTTCAGATTTTCATCCGTGTTTTCACCAGCATTCTCGTTACCACCCCCTGCATTGACGGGAGGATTATTGGTATTACGAGCTTCATTCGTATCCTCGTCCTCCAGGTTAACCGGGTTACGACGACTTGGCTCGCCTTGCTGGTTCGTCAATGCCTGGATTTGCTGGTCATTGGTGGTTTAGTATTGTTCACTTGATTTTTCTTATTTTCTTTTCATTGGCTAAAAGCAGTTTACTATAATTTTGGCACCTGTTATAACTTTTCCTTTTATTTGAAGCTATATACTGTTGCAGCAATGCATAAGCGATCTGAGCATCCTTTTGGGCCTGGAAATAAGAGATTTGGTCCTTCCTGGTTGTTTGATGTTGTTTTGTGTTACTATGGCATGCTTGCTTGGTGTTGGTTTTGCTACGCTCTTGCATACTCAGCTTGGGAACCTGCTGGTAGTTTTCAGATTCATCTAAGGGCCTTAGTTCATGGGTTTTGGTTCGGTTTCTGCTAGGTGTTTTGAATTTCAGGAGCTATTACAAATGTACAACAGTTGCCTTTTGCCCACATTATCCCATTGGCTATCAACAGTTGCCTTTTGTCCACATTATCCTATTGGCTCCCCAGGTTTATGTATGGTAGAATTGAGGTCAGTCACCACCTACAGCAGCAATGCCCTTTTCCTCAACCAAATGACTCCAGTTTCGGGTACGTTAAGTTCAATTTTGTAGTGTTTGCTTTGGAAATTTTCTCGCTTTGTTTTGTTTTTACTCTCAGGTGGGATCTCTGCTGAAATTGGCTGCGAGTTTGGCTTTCTATATTGCTGGGAAGGGAGTATTTTGCTCATTGTTTTAGTGATGAAATTTGCTATGGGATTGTTTTGTTATATTGCTGGGAATTAAGAATTTTGCACATTGTAATACTGCTGGAATTTGTTGGGCATTGAGTCACTTTTGTGTGGAAACATGAGCTAGTTCAAATGCTTTCTTCGACACCGTACAAGTTGTTCTCTGACAATAATATGTTGTAGTAAAATGGTGGTTTGTATATTCCTGATTGGGTTTTGTGTGTAAATGTTGAGAAGTTGGTCTTAGAGAATCTAAGTCACATTTGTTTATTATTTTTTAATTTTATTTTGGAGGTCCTTTCAGATTGGAAAATAATGGATCTTTAAATATTGTTGTATTATAAATCTTCAATAAGGGCGAAAGTGGTATTTTAAAAAAAAGTTATGAGGTTAATCTCCTTAACCCCTCTCCATTTGCCAAACACAAAAGACTTAACCTCTTGTCTTAACTATCGTATCCAAACGGGTTTAGAATTTTTTTAACCCTTCATGATGGATTAACTAAGTTAACCCTTCTCTTTAATCCCTCCTCCTTAACCCTTTGCCAAACGGGGCCTCCGTGTTTTATTGTAGCACTCTACGTCGTCTCCTTAGCGCATGCAAGGGAGAGAGTGACTTGTTCATGGCGAAGTTTTTCTTTTTCAAGCCCGTGAGCAGAAGGTTCAAAGTAATTGATAATGGCAAGAATAGGACGCAAGTACACTCAGGGTGTATGACTTTGAGGTTGACCTCAATAACATCCATATCCTTCAAGAATCGTGCAAGTGAATACTGGTCTAAGGAATTGGATAAGTATTGCATGATTGGACGTCAACTTAATCCAATTCTAGAAAGAACAAACCAGGAGGTAGACCATGTGATGCAAGCAGCAAGAAGAGAGGGATAAATGGAATTTTCTACCGAGGCATGAAGATAGAAATTGAATATTCATCAGTGGGGCCCTGAATGCGCCGAAGAAGCTTGTTCTTCTGGGGCCAATGGCATGGAGGAGAGTGTGATCATTTACTAGGCTTCGGTTTGGCCAGCGAAATCTGACATATTTTTTTCCTGCGGATTGGTTCGGTCACGTGCGCTAGCGTATCATTTGGTTGGTTTTGGTTGGAGGAAGGGCAGTGAAGCGTCGAAGCCTTCATATGCTACCACAAATGAGATAGATATCATATAATAGCCCTACGATCGTATCCCAAAGAGATTGGGGGACAAAAAAGGGAAAAAGATTCTGATGGAAGCCACAAATTTGGAACCTCACTGATGAAAGAGAGATGAAAAAGAGAGGGGAAAAAAAAGAAGGAAAGAACAAGAAAGGGAGGGGAAAAGTGCAAGGACACTAGTATAGCTAGAAGTTACCTTTGGTGCTATGCTCCTCAAAAGTCATGGACGGAGTCATAGAGAATATCTTTGGATTAGTGAAAATGTGGCAGGGTCCTTCAATGATGTGGAGCTAGATTTATCCTGTTTATGATTATCTGGAGATATTGCTTGAGATTGTTTGGTAGATATTTCTTCATTAAGAATCTAAAAATCTACTTCAATAAATAATCTAGACCACGAGCAATACTTTCCTCATTTGGGAACTGGTACAAGAGCCTCTACTATATGACAACGGAACAGAATAAAAATTGATAGATGAAGCAATACTCTGAATAGGATGCACAACTAACATAAGCTAGCATTACATAGAAAACAAATCACGGACCCATGACTCCTAAAGCCATATTCAAATATGAAAATTACAAGAAATATTAAATGGTAAAACATGAAATATACATACGTGAAATAATCTACTTATTAAAGATCCACGCATGATAGTTATAAATTTAGACTGTAATCACACTTATGGCTGCAATACGTGTCAAAGCTTAGCATTTGTCTCAGATTTCTAGCCGTTCCTTATTGCAGAATTAAAAGGTCCATAACATGCAATTATAAAAGACTCAATAAATACCAGACATTGTATATATCAATATGAAATAAACAAGGAATATGAAAGAAATAAAAGAATTCATCTAAAAGTGATTTAAATACGTGGAACCTCGGTACCTTGACATTAATTACAGTCCCAATGATGCTTAATATGATCCCCATTTTGTCGAAAGATACCTACAATAATATTTATTTCTGGTGTCTTGTGGTCCAGTTACAATCCAACTGTTCATCTTATCTAAATAAGCCACTTAATATCCAAAACATAAAAGAGCTATTGAAACTATTACCACACAAACTGCAACAAACAAGAACCTGTATTCTTCTAACTTGCATAACCTTGAGGATTGTCCTAAAGAGATGAAAATGAGAAAGGCTTTGAGGCCTGACTAAAGCCCCCGAAACAGCTTAACAATGTAGGAATTTATTTACAAATTTGAAACATGGTTTGCCAATTATTACTATGCACAAGGTTATGCAAATTGCCTTTTTCTATGAAAAAATATGCATCATAAGAGCAGTCCTTACAGTTGGACGCAGATGCCGACCCTTATAGCTGGTATTTTCCTTTACCTGTCGACATTTCTATTCAGAAACATATAAGTTGTATTAATACCAACCAACCCATCTACGGACCTGTAAATGTACTATGATATCATCCGTTTAAGCAGGATATTAATTGCCTTGTCGATGGCACAGTGATAAAATTGCAGAGATCTCTTTACAGAATCCTGTGAAAACACAACTAACACTAGGCAATGTATGATCAAGGACCTTGTGCTTCTTATATTTCTATGCTTATATTTGACTTGCTAACACAAGAAATTTCACTATAGAACAGCCTCTCAAGGCTTGCAGTGCAAGACAAAAATTTATTAAGTTGTATTTCAGCTATAACAGTATTATTCTATAACTTGTCATTAAAAAAAGTTCAATGCTATCTATCAATGAGTTGAGCTCATGGATCGTCTGAGAATCCCAGGCAAGCTGTTTAGTTTGGATTTTTGTTACACTCTGGAAGAAAATAGACATGGACTGCTAATAAGCACCCGAATTAACCACGCGAACTCCCACCTTGTATGAAATAATGTCATCAGCTAAGCAATAACAATCCATTCCTTTCAAATTGATGTAGACTGAGAGCCAAGTTAGTAGTTACTCAGAACCACTTGAGAGAAATGCTCAACTGAAAGTGAAACCAGTATGCTCCCCAAAAAAGAGGGGGATAAAGTGAAACCAGTACAAACTGGAGAATAACGAAACTCATAAAGACTGAACCATGGCCAGTAGATGAGGGCCTATAGATTTACAAAATCTGTATATTGAATAGGGAAGTTGATTGACAACTACATTCATCAGTAAGCAGAGGATGAGAGGCAATGTAAGTGTAAACATAACATCATGAAGGAAACCTTAAACCGACATCCTAAAATTAATAAATGCTAGTAAGAGTGCAAGGGGATAAGAAAGAAACCATTCACTAGCAAAATAGGAAGTTCTAGTGAAAGCAGTTCATCTTGCCATATGTCTTCCTGTGAGGTTTAAATCATCTATGGAAAAGATAATTGTACATGCTAGTATCTTTTGTCGGACATTTTAAATATGAAATTTTGTTTCATTTTAGTGGCAGAAGTAATTTTTCCAATTGTTGTGACAATCCCTGTGCCTCATGCATATCCCACTGAGTAAATCATTTGGTTCTTGGAATCATTTAGTGCTGTTTCTCTCGAAGCAAGAAGTGTGTGTCACTGAGACCTTCTAATGAACCTTTTCTAGATAAAAGAACTGTATCTGCATTCACCCGAAAAATTAAGTCCTACTAGAAAGCTACTAGGGTAGAGAATCTGACAGTAGTTGAATGCGCATAATTTGCAGTTGGGTACAAATAAATGGAAGTGTACAAGGTCCCATAGTAAAACCTGAGAACTGTCTTATCTAAAAGGTGTAAGGGAATATAGTAGTCCCCACAATTTGTAGGCCACATGGGAATCTGGTGAAGATGCATTTTGGAAATAATCGATGTAGAAAGAAAAAAGTACAGAGTGAAATTCTCTCTGATTAAGGATAACGAAGCAAAAAACAATTGCATTAGCAATAATGGCAAAAGATTATTTGTGTAAACATTATTATTTTCTTAATAACATGCTAATATTAAAACAATAAGGGAAAAAGGAATATACATGTAATTGTAGTAAAATCTACACATCAAGTTAACCGACCTTCTGTGTAGCTCTCCTTAAGATTTTGCAAAGCTCTTCGGGTCTCATCCTCACCTTGCTGGGAGTATTTTAAGCAAATAAGTCTTTGAGCTACTCTGTACGCCATTTGAATTGAATGGTACTGCTCGCAGTTTATATCCATCCTCTCCACTTCCTATCAAAGCGGACACAAATTATCTAGTAAGTTTTACATGTTAGCCATATACTGACTTACACTAAACCAGAAGGTTCTGGCTGTTTTCCTAGGTCCTGACGATTTCACCTGTTGAAATAGATGTCAGTGATTTAAACCATCTGATTTAGAAATACGTTTTCTCATGTATTTACCAGTTTCATAATTGCAAAATTGATGGATAAATGATAGGATATGATGGTAAAAATTTTGACCAATTACCTTATCCGTGATCTTTGTGGTGATGCTTCTTGCTGTTTCAACCACAGAACTTGGTAGACCCGCAACTCCAGCCAGTAAGAGGCCATAGTGTGGTACTTGGCGTGGTCCATCCTTGAGGCAAAACTGTTAAGCAGTCAATAATTGATGAAACATCTATAAAATTCTTAAAAATTTCCTGACCAAATTAAGTTACATAAGATAAACCTTGAAGTCTAAGCGATTGTTCCTCAAATCAACTTCAAAATGAAGAATCTTGACATTAGGATAGATGGTTGCCAATTCAGATAACTCTTCCATGTGTGTAGCAAATATAGTATACCTGATGAAAAAGCAACAGCCAGAGACACATTAAAGGCTGAAAAATCAACTAGTCCACTAGTGGTTATATTTTGAATCAGAGAGGAAAACAAAGGGAGACAAAAATAAAATGAATAATATGAATTAAGAAAACATGTAATTCATTTACACTATGATGGAACAACATCAACACAACTGCATAAAATCTTCATATTGTAAATGGATCAATAATTAAGCAGAAGATAATTTAAAAAAACTATGTAGTGTCCATGAGGAATAGGTGCATTAAGTTCAGGTCTTTACGCTTTGAGAGAAAGTAAATGCTCACAACAGCTCCAAGCAATTGCATATCCATCAGAGGTAGAAGTAGCCCTTCCAAGTTCATCCATGACAACAAGGCTCCTATGTTCAAAACTGAAGCCTTCAGGCACATAAGCTCACAACAAATTGTGCATCTTACATGTCATGATTGGTGTAGAAGAAACCTTGGAGAAATGTTTTGCATCAAGAAAGCGGTCTCTTTCATTTCAGTCATAAACTGCAAGCGAAAAATTATCTTTTTAATCATTGATTTGGTGGTGCATGCTTGACACATCAAGAAAATAGCCTGTATTGCTGTAACTTCTATATACTTCTAACAGAGGCAAGTTGGATTGCAGCAGATTCTGGTGCATGTATTAGGATATCAATAGAATGTGGCAATAAAGTCTGCCAATGAGTTGACAAAGTTTTGACATAACAAATTGATATGTGCTACCACTCATCATATTAAAAAGTTGTTCCTATGTTGTCGAGCTTGCCAAATAGTGCAATGTTAGAATTGCGACAATCAGCATTTCTCACTGACTGACAGTGTTAGTCAAAGAAAGGGGGAAGACTTTTTTTTCTGATTGACAGAAGAAAACAGCCAAGGAAAAAGAAGGGGGGTGCTGCTTATTTTGACAAAAAATGCAAACGGGCCCCATCAATCCTCACATCACCGAATGCTTTTATCAAATCACCGAATTCGGTGAATGACAGGAGAGAGAGCGAAAAATAAAATGCGCAAAATTGGGGGACACGCAAGATTTACGTGGTTCAGCACAAAATTGCCTACGTCCACGGGCTGCTGCAGATCTTTCACTATTTGGCTGAAATTTTACAAACACTCTCACAGATTTCTCACACTCCCAGTTTCACTCAGAAAATCTCTCAATTTTCTCACTAAGACTTTTTTCTCTAAGCCTTTCTTTTCTCTCTCTTATTCTTCTATAAGAGGAGTTGTTTCTGGGATGATTTTTCCTTAAGAGTTTGGGGGCCTATTTATAGTGTTTGGAAAGACACTATGCACCAATAATTTATTATTGGTGGGACCCGCGGTGGGGCCTGTCTGCATTTTTCTTCTCCTCTCCTGTCATTCACCGAATTCGGTGATTTGATAAAAGCATTCGGTGATGTGAGGATTGGTGGGGTCCGTTTGTATTTTTTGTCAAAATAAGCAGCACCCCCCTTCTTTTTTCCTTGGCTGTTTTCTTCTGTTAATCAGAAAAAAAAGTCTTCCCCCTTTCTTTGACTAACAATCTCCCACTTGAAGACTAATTTCAATCTGTCTTCACATCTCGATCTATGCAACAGCTCTTCCCCGATCTTGTTATTCTTGCAGGCCAACTGAAGCTGAACACAACTTCAGTTTGTCAATAGTCACCGTCTTTGTCAGCATGTCTGCCGGATTTTGAGCTCCACTGATCTTTTCAAGCTTCAAAATTCCATCTTTCAAAAGTGACCGGATAAAATGATACCGCATCTGTATGTGCTTCGTTCTGGAATGAAAGGACGGATTCTTCGCTAGATGAATAGCACTTTGACTGTCACAGTATAAGACATTGTCTTCTTTTTTCTTGCCTAATTCATCCAAGAAATTTTGAAGCCACACCATTTCCTTGCTGGCTTCTGTAACAGCGACATATTCTGCTTCAGTTGTGGAGAGAGCAACTATCTTCTGCAGTTGAGAAGCCCAACTCACTGCAGTACCTCCTAGAGTATATACATACCCTGTAGTGCTCTTTCTGATATCAACATTTCCTGCTAGATCAGCATCTACATAGCCTGTTAGTATTGTATCTCCACACGCAAGATTTACGTGGTTCGGCACAAAATTGCCTACGTCCACGGGTTGCTGCAGATCTTTCACTATTTGGGAGAAATTTTACAACAGTGAAATCACTGAAACTCCCAATAGCGGTACCATAGAACATTGGCCATAACTATTGATGGCAAGATTTCGATCCTTGGTTCATATTTTATGCTGACTTCTTGCCTGGGGATAATAGGGAGTTTTGTTCCAGGGAAGTGCAAGTCCTTTCTCTATTGACAATTTCTGCTTCAAATTTATAATCTCTTGCAGATCTGATCCTGCAACGAGCATGTCATCAACGTATAACAATAAAATAATGAAGCTATTGTCAAACCTCTTGAGATAGCAACAATGATCTGCTTGGCATCTAGTGAAACCGTTGATGCCCATAAAGCTGTCAAACTTCTTGTACCACTGTCTGGGAGCTTGTTTCAGTCCATACAAGCTTTTCTTCAAACGACATACTAGATTTTCCTTGTCTGCCTTCATGAAGGCTTCTGGTTGCTTCATATAGATCTCCTCCTCTAAATCACCATGAAGGAAAGCTGTTTTTACATCTAACTGCTCAAGATGTAAATTCTCAACAGCTACAATTTTCAACACTAATCTGATTGTAGTTAGTTTCACAACCAGAGAAAAAATTTCATTGTAGTCGATACCTTCCTTTTGCTGAAAGCCTTTGACAACCAATCTTGCCTTGTAGCGCTTGTTCCCATCATGCTCTTCTTTGATCCTGTATATCCATTTGTTATAAAGAGCTTTCTTACCTTGTGGTAATTCAGCTAAGTCCCACGTCTGATTTGACATGAGTGAGTCCATCTCATCTTGCATAGCAGACTCCCACTTGACTGAATCCTCCACCTGCATTGCTTCATCATAACACTCTGGTTCACCACTGTCAGTCAGCAACAGGTAGTGCAAAGAAGGCGAATAACGCTGGGTTGGCTTAGGAATTCTGGAGGAGCATCTCACTTCTGGCGTACTTGGTTCTTCTTAAACTACTTCATGGCTTGTTTGAACATCATTTTCAGAAATCTCCTCAAATTCAGCAAATTCCTTTGTTTCAACTTTTATACTGGAGCTACTTGATTCTGCAGTTGATCTGTCTTTGTACATCACATTCTCATTGAATATGACATCTCTGCTTCTGATGATCTTCCGATTTTCATAATCCCAAAATCGGTAACCAAACTCATCACCACCATAACCAACAAAAACACATTTGTTAGATTTGGCATCAAGTTTACTTCTTTCAGCAGAATCTATGTGTACATAAGAGATACAACCAAAAATTCTTAAATGTGAAAGGTTTACCTCTTTTCTGCTCCAAGCTTCTTCCGGTATTCCACCATCCAAGGGAACTGAGGGTCCGCGGTTGATTAGGTAGCCTGCGGTATTGATAGCTTCAGCCCATAGGAACTTGGACAAGCCGGCATGTAACCTCATGCTTCTGGCACGTTCATTCAAAGTTCTGTTCATGCGCTCTGCTATGCAATTCTGCTGCGGTGTCATGGGAACTGTTTTCTCCATCTTGATCCCGCTGTTTGCGCAAAACTCTTTGAATCTACTGTCTTTGTACTCTCCTCCATTGTCTGACCTCAACTTCGTTATCTTCAAACCAGTTTTATTTTCCATCATGGCCTTCCATTTTCTGAAGGTATCAAAGACTTCTGATTTTTTCTTTAGAAAATAGACCCACACCTTCCTTGTAGAATCATCAATGAAGGTGACATAGTACAGTGAGCCTGCAAGAGATGAAACTGGAGATGGTCCCCATACATCGGTATGAATTAATTCTAACCTTTCTGTCTTGGGTGTCTTGCCAATCTTTGCAAAGCTGACTTTCTTCTGTTTGCCAATGATGCAATCTTCGCATAAACCGACATCTACATTCTTCAAATCCGGTAGCTTCCCTTTTGACAGAAGTGTCTTCATCCCTTTCTCGCTCATATGACCAAGCCTTTGGTGCCATAGGTTTGATTTTCCATCTGCATTTGTTACTGCAATGATATTCTCTAAGTTAGAGGTTATATAGAGAGTACCACTTTTCTTACCTCGAGCAATGACGAGTGCTCCTTTGGTAATCTTCCATTCATGACCCGAGAAGGTTGTACAATAACCCTCTCCATCAAGCTGTCCCACAGAGATCAAATTCCTTCTAAGACCAGGAATATGTCTTACTCCTTGCAGCTTCCATGTGGTCTGGTTTGACAATTTTAATCGAATGTCTCCCTTACCAACAATCTTCAAGGTTTCATCATCTGCTAGATGTACCTTTCCGAAATCACCGCTGACGTAGTTCTCCATGATTTCTCGGCATTGGGTGGAGTGGAAGGATGCCCCTGAATCAAGAATCCATGATTCAATTGGACTGTTGACGCTTAGAATCATAGCATCACCTCCTTCCTCGGTCACGTTGGCAGACTCCTGTGCGCCGATGTTTTTCTTCGGTGCCCAGCACTCCCTCTTGAAATGACCCTTCTTGCCACAATTGTAGCACTTGAAGTCTTTCTTTCCTGATCTAGATTTGCTCCTTCTAGATTTTGATCTGTCGTGATTTGAACTTCTTTCTGAAGTTCTTCCCCTAGACTCCGTGTGTAAAGCTGAGGAGGTTGAAGCTTCACCCGATTCTCTCCGTCGGATCTCTTCACTAAGAACCAGATCACGAACGTCATCGAACTTCAACTTGTTGCTTCCCGATGAGCTACTCACAGCCGTGACTGTAGCGTTCCAGCTTTCTGGTAGAGAAGAAAGAAGTATCAATGCTCGTACTTCTTCATCAAATTCAATCCCAACTGAACTCAACTGGGTTGTGACTATGTTGAGGGGTAATTTCCCAACAGACAGCAACCTTGATACAATAACATGCAAAATAGAAGGAAATAGAGAGTTCATTGCATGCTTACAGGAAGTTGTAAATTGAGCCGACTTTTAGGAACCATTGTAGATTTAGAGTTAGGTTCCAATATAAACCTTATTTTGGTGAAGGTTAAGTTAATTATGATGATTGGTGATAATAACTAGGATGAGTTCTGATCATTTTAGAGAGCTTAAAAGAATGCAGCAAGGCAAAAACTACCCATCATTAGTATGACTTTAAGACGTCACTTCCATCTTCTACAATCAGTATTTCTCACTGACTAAGAGCAACCTTGATACCATAATATGAAAAATAGAAGGAAATAGGTAGAGTTCATTTCATGCTTACAGGAAGTTGTAAATTGAGTCGAGTTTTAGGCGCCCTTGTAAATTTAGAGTTAGGTTCCAAAATAAACCATATTTTGGTGAAGGTTAAGTTAACTATGATAATCGGTGATAATAAATAGGATGAGTCCTGATCATTTTAGAGAGCTTATAAGAATTCAGCAAGGCAAAAACTACCCATCATTAGGACTACTTTAAGACATCACCATCCTCTACTATCACTGGAGTATAATTAATATTTTCTCTCTCAAGTCAATCACCTTTGTTAGAATATAAGACGGTAGCCCTAAACCATCATCAAAACTTCAGAGTTTTGGTGTAGTGTACCTTTGACATGGTAGCGAGCAAGTTCAATTCCCAGCAGCCATGAGTACAAAGCGGATTTTAAAATCAGGTCATGTTGTTGAATAGCTAATGCTTCCAGATTTTTTTCCGAAACAAAAATCAGTAGCTCCATATATATTATCCTAGTCCCATTCTATATCTAATATTCTGTCATGGGAGGACAACCATTTCTAAACATGCAGTGGCAGAAATAATTGAACAAATGACAAATGCACTTATTAAGGGCAAGGTATGACACTTTATTTGGTAGTTAATGGTTTTGAATCTTGACACCAATAAAATAGTTCCAAAGTCTAATAACTCCTGTGTCTTCTGGTTGGAAGGTGATATTCATTTCATCTTACATTTTTCAAACGATAATGCTAACTACACTACACTTTTCTAAACTACTCTCAAACTACAAGAGAAAGAAGTATGGGCTCCCTTGATGAGTCATCAATTTGCACACACTTCTCTCTGGTAGCATGGAATTAGCTTGAGTGGCATAGTGTAGTTATCACTACTCTTTTCCAAATGTAAGATAAGGGGGGAAAAGGTTTCTCTAATACACTTCTTATACTTCCCAATTTCCATGCTCAAGACCTGATCACATCAAAATCATACGAATAATATTTATCTTCATAATTAAAGTTGCAAAACTTAGCCACTGATATAAGTTACTAAACTTTCAATAGCATCACTAGATAATGTTAGAAACTTGTGTGGAACTTTGTACTTTAGTTTCATCATTTTGGAAGGTGTGAATAATTAAGAAATTCCATATTATGAGAAAATAGGTATAGCAAAAGCTATAAAGGATAGCGAATTCCAGACCCCTGGAGAATCTCCCACCAAAAATGAAATCAAGCAGGCAATCGTTTACATGGAGAAATAAGATGAGGTTTCAAAGTCACATACAGTGCTAGAGTTATATTCAACATTGTCTCCACTCCCTATCCGAGTGAATATGCGATCAACAACTCTTAGTGACGCAAAACGCGCAGGAATATAACACCCAATTTGTGCGAGGATAATGATTAAGCAAATTTGTTGAAGATAAGTGCTTTTGCCACTCCTGATAAAACAATGCAAAACACAGTTGGAAACAGTAAAACGTAGACAGTATACAAAATAATGGTAATGTTAATCACGTAAAGAAAGAAATACACTGCAATGAGGTAAATGTAAATCTACAATAAAAAATGTAAAAACATAAATTGTACATGTTTGGGCCCATGACAACCACCATGTTTGATGCTTCTGATAGGAAAAGATTGTTAGGCTGCATAAGAAAGTTTACAAAATCAGTCTCTGTTGTCAGAATATTATAGTAACTATAGTCAGTTTCATTGAAAAGGTAGATTATGCAAACTTCGGAAACGCACAATAAAATCATTGTGCAAGCTTTCTAAAATCGGGTGCCGTCCAGCATCGACTGCCATCGGACCATTTACTGCCAAGTTAGAAATCAGGAATTTGAAAATTGCCATCTCAATATTGGAGTGTATAAGCAAAAAACTAGTAACTACCTGTGAATTCTGGTCTTGTATAGCGATCGACAGGCTTAGTAGATATCATGTTTGCAAAGGAATTGACTAGCATATCTAAAAGGCACAAGACCTCTGCGAGCAGTGTCAAAATGGAAATATCCTTCCTTATGTCATCAATTAGTCCTGTAAGGGAAACTATTAGCCAAAGAGAAATATAATAGTCATAATAACTGAAGCCATATTCAGGAGTAGGTGATATTAGAATAATACTAAATACAAAATATTTAAATATTTATGACCCAAAAAATTTTGGAATAAATTATTTATGAACAGCTCATCTGCAGCACTAAAAATAAGAACTTTAAGCTAGAACCTACAAGACCACTGGGTTGGGACTTTTTCTATTTGTCTCCTAGGAAAACTTTTGGAGCAACAATGTTAATGAATGGGAATTTGACTCCTGTCAGCCGTATAAGATACTTCAGAAGGTTTTTTAGTTCAAAATATAATAAATATACACCAAACTCGTCATAGACATTTTCAAAATTCAAAAGAAAATATATATCTCAAATATAGACTTAACCGTAGCAACATTATTGCTACCTTCCAAGCAAAACTCTGTCCTCATAAAACATTCAGCTGCTGCAGATTTATTCCTGATGTTTAGCTGAAAAAGAAATTTGCAACACATTAATATATCATTTAAACAACAGCTTAGCAAATTATGTTTCCTCCTATTAGATAATAGAGTACAATTTCAATATGCTCAACTATAAGAAACATCATTAAAATGTTATGCTTATGCATTTTGATAGACAATGAGTACTTTCAAGGATCAATTTTGAGAGAGGAATCCAACCATTGTTTACTATTGGAGCCAAATTCAGCGCAGTCAGATGCATTTTAGACTATGCTACAAGAACCAGTGGGCCAAATGTTTCTAGCCCCAACTATAAGCTAAGATCTGTGACATACTTGAATGGTGGATAATAGTTGCTTGCCCCAGTGAATAAGCTAAGATCTCCGACATACTTAAACAGTGGGCCAAATGTTTGCTTAAATTCCTAAACACAAAATTAACTCCAGAATATTACTTAAGCCAGATCCAATTGATAAATGACACTTTCACCTTTGAGTACTTGATTAACAAAATTTGACCCCAGTGTAAAAGAATAGAGGTCTGTTTCAAACTTGATTCCGATTAAGGGGTTAAAATAGTCTAGCTTAAGCAAAAAAAAGGTTCATCTTAATTAAAATAGTGTTTAGATGTATTTCCCATTTTAAGGAGTCAGCAGAAAACAAAGTTTACATTTCAGTTTCATTCCATGATTTCCATCTAAGGAAGATAAGTGAAAGTTTGATTCTGATGAACGGGTTAGTTACAGACATTGAAATAAATCCCTATGAAATCAGCTACTTGCTATAGAGCTTGGTTTTCAGTTTCACTAAAGCTATGGTATTTCGTACCTGTGAAATTTCCCTTTCAGTTCGATTCGAGAATAGGGAATCAGGGATTTAGTGATCTATGGATTTTGGAGTTTAACTCTAATTAATGGATTTAGAAATCTATGCCTTCGAAATACATCACTATAAAATCAACTACTTTTTATACATTTGTGTGCTAATAAGAGACCACATGAAACTTGAAAGTTTTGAATAGTAAGCTAGCCCAAGGGTATTGGCAAAAGTATCAATCAGGGAACATTAAAAAGTAGCCAATGAGTCAGCTAGTAGAAGTGAATCAGTCCAGTACAAAATAATAAAAAGTTTAGTATTGCAAGTTTACACAGTTATAAACCCACTCAAAAATTGGACAAGTGTGAAACATTAAATGCTAAAACTAGCTTAAGGGAAATATATAGTGACTATTTCATGGAACAGAAATGCTGATAGGGATAGGACACAACACAACTGAATGACGAGAAAAATTCCAACAAAAGTACAGAAAAACAACAAAACGAATCATATTATGGACTGCCAAAACAACCATCAAAGTGATAAAGCCACATAAAGGTTGGAAAGAAATGGGACTAGAATTTATTTAAGTTCTGTTCCAAATAACTTTTCCTTCTCTTTTTTGTGTTTGATATGCAGATCCGATTAGCATTTGATTATAATGATATTTTAACTTGCAGAAGGGAAAAAAATCTTTGACACTGCTTTTGCGGTAACAAATGACATCAGCCTGGTTTTCAAGCCTCATCAAACCAGAAACTGTCTAGTTGGCTCCATCTATACTCCACTTTTAAGCCATGACCATTACCAATGTATTATGAATGTGCGAGATGAAGAGAAACTTCTGGGTAAACTTTGAATACCTTAGCATGTGCTTCATCCAACATATAGGAAGCATAAGTTCTTCAATTTCAATATACATAGAAATGCTAGTTAAAAATTGTAGCGTGCTGTGAAAATAGTGTGCTGCGGAAAATGCTTACTGAAGCAAGTTCAACGCTTGAGCAGTGCATGTTCTTCCCATGTTTCACAACCTGTTGTGTGATAATGTATTAAATGAATATCATGCATCGACTAGAACTATATTTGCACTAAACGATGTATATATCAAACCTGAATAAATTTTTCAGGAAGTTTTCCAGTTATGTCCTTTTGGGGAATGCTAAAGTAAAATCCTTGCCTATTATTATAAGGAATCTTCAAATTTGGCATCTTAAATTCCTCACGGTATTTGTTTGCAAGGTTATGGATAGCTGCAACCACAATTTGATGAGTACTGCAGAACATACAACAACAGCAGTTATAGAAGTCAAACTACCTTCACTTGTATCACAGAAAGAACGCCGGGCAACATCAAGAAGCCCATCTATTCCAGCTTTGATGGCAAAACATTGTTGTGTGCAGGCAACAAAGGGAGACCTTGCATGTAAAACATCTTCATCGATCGCATCACCAATTCTGAGACAAAACTCAGAAGATTTGGACACTGATAAAGACTACATAACAGCATTTTAAAACTGAGGAGAAGCATTGAATTTGCCGGATAAGAATGGAGATGTTATTAACTTAATCATAAATACAAATGAGTAAGTATTGTAATGAATAGTACTTATATCCAGCAGTGTATATCTATTGAGTGGCCAGGATGAAATATAGTTACTTAAGCCAAGGAACAGAAGATTAAAAAAGAAAACAGATTTGGGACTTTTGTTCAACTATTGCAACACACAAGCAACAGTTTGACCCATTTACGAGTGCAGTGCTAGAATGCAACAAGCAAGTATACACAAAGAGCTCCAGCTTTCCCAAAACAAAACTATGCTTGTCTTTGGGACCATAATAAGCTTAGAAGATATGAAAATGCTGATGAGAAGCTAATCTTTGTATACTATGCACTGCATACCACTGAAAGGCAGTAGTTTTTCAAGCTGAAAGCAAGACTAAATTGTACACATGGAGACTGAATGAACCTAACAACTAACCATTAGATTATGAGAAAACAGCATCAGCATAACCTTGTTGATCATTTCCAACAACAGCATCACATGGACATATTTTAGGTAGAAACAAATGGAAGGATATAGTGAATGATATATGCATATTAATATTGACGGATAGATTCTAACGACTATTATCTGAAATATCTCAGAAGGACCATAAAGAAGAGAACCTATATAAAGATTATTGAATGTACAGCATGTGATGATCAGCTAAATAGAAGAACAAACTATGACAGACAAAAACATCGAAATGTGCATTTAGACTAATCTTAGTTACATGTTATCTCAGAACGATCAGATGGAAGGCTTTTAACTCATAAAGCTCATAAGGACAAACATCATATGTTTGTGGGCGTGGGTGTGTGGGCGTGGGCGTGCGTGTGTGTAGGCATGGGTGGATGTGTGGTGTGGGGGCATGTGGTGAGTGGGTGCAGTGCATCAATGCGTGGGCAGGCGGGCAGGCGGGCGCGGGTGAAGGTGTGCATGTGTGAGCACACACACCAGATTCGCACGCATGCACCCCATGCGCACATGCGCGCACCCAGACACACACACGACACACATGTATGTACATGTGTGTGTGTGTGTGTGTGTGCGTGTCCATGTGTATACATTTATGTGTGTGTGTAAGAGAGAGGAATATGGGTATCCTTGGTACCAGTACCAAGGACCATCCTTGGAGTGATGTGCCTAATTCTCATCCACTCATTCAATGAGTGAGTAAATAAGTCGGAACCATTTTCAAGTGGGCTACTTGAGTGGTGTGGATGAGAAGTGGTCACATCACTACTGGGCATCAATTTTGTGCTTGGTACCAAGGAAACTCATTTTTCTCATATATATGAGGAATATGGGTATCCTTGGTACAAGGACCAAATTGAAAGAGTGGATGAGTATTAGCCACATCACTTTCCAAGAATCTAAATAGTTAAACAAGGAGATAATTGGCAGGCTGAAACGGCAGTTGCACACTAAACATTAGAGTCAAACTGTTATCCTAGGACCTAAACAGTTAAACAAGAAATAACTGGCAGGATGAAAAGGCAGTAGTACATTAAAAAATTAAGAGTCAAACTGTTATCCTAGTTGAGTTGTTGAATAGCCTATATAAATGGCTTACTGCAAGAACTTAGATGATCATAACTGCATAAATTGACATAGATTTCGTACTATGAAGTGACCACGAAAAATGATATATTCTTCTTTGACCTTAACAGATAGTTTTAGGTTTACAGCTCCTTATGAAACTTAAGGTTTACAAGGCATATTTCTAGATGTTCTTCTGTATAAATCCCTGTATGATGCTATAAAATCTTGTGATCCTTTACGATACGAAAGAGAATGTTAAATGAGAGTGATGATATTTAAGTAATCTCCAAAGAACTGAGACTTCATTATCATATTTGAAGAAGTTATGCTCTTTGTGCTGTTTGGGAACATGAATTAACAGCAGTTTTTCACTTTCAGATTACATAGACCAACAGTTGGTGGCACGTTTTCTCTAAGGTTTAATATCTGAAAAGTTTTTTTTTTAGATAGAATTAGATGTTCACCTACACAGATGAAAAGAACAAGATAAAATCAAACCTCTGTCTCATGCAGGCATATTTTTCATTTTCACAAACAGATCTGTAAATATTGCAAAGCAGAAAACTCTTTGCATCCTTGAGCACCTGAAATATCATATAAAATTACTAGTTAGATAGCTAACTCAAGGCACATGCTGAAAAGATAGACTATAGTAGCTAAACAAATGTCCATACACATATAGAGAATGGCACGCGTGCGCGCACATACATACACGCGCGCACGCGCGCGCACACACACACATAGAGAGAGAGAGAGAGGAGGAGGAGGAGAAGGATGATACATCTACTTGGCAGAACAGTCACATACACAATGTGCCAAAAAATCGACCTGTTTTCTGTTCAAATCCAAACGACAATGCATGAGATAAATAAATATAGCACAAGTAATGAAGGATTGGAGGTGATGTAGATATGCCTACAGTAGCTAAAGAAAGAAAGAAAAAATGCATATGATTTGCCACAAGGAGATAGAAAGATGGAGAATACAATTATATAGATAAGATCACATGGTTATAATGTTTTAGTTGAGAACTGTAGTTAAAAGATTTTAATATGATAAAGATGACAGCAGTATAAAGTAAGGCAAAATGATATACCTTTGTAAGAAAAGGCAAGGCATCTAGAGCTGTTTTCAGAATGATAATGTTCGATATCAACAATTGACTCTTTCTTCCGTTGGCAGGCTTCAAAATTTCTTCAGTGATCTTTTTTGGTTTAAAACAGAAGTGGCATAGAACCTTATCTAAGAAAAAGGACAGATGAATAAACATAAGGTTAATACTAGTTGATAAACTGTGGCATACAAATTAGCCTATGTTCAAAGCTAAATATTCTTTACCAGTCTCTTTAGGGAATTTACGGAGACCCTGGGATAGACCAAAGAATAACTCTTCATTGTTCATCAACTCATCCTGATACGCAAATCAGGAAAAAGAGCATGATATAAACAATATGACTGTTGACTGGAGGACTTTAAATCTAAATGATCTTAGCCCCTTTTCTAAATCATCAAATTTTAGTTAAATAATAACAGTGTTCATAATACTGCAGCACGCAAGTTGTGTATGTGTGCGTCAACGGAATAACACTCCATTAAACAGAATTAGCCAGAAGCCAAACCCCAGTGGTCATACTAAATCTTGCAAGAACCTTTTCCAGTTACATGTAATCCAGAGCAAAACAAATCCATTCGTAATCAGTGTCCAGCATGAATCACATTGCATGGTATGGCCTCTCAACTAGTCCAACTTTATATGCTTGTTTTATGCCAAGTCACAATCTCTCCTATATCTATGAAACTATAATCCAGATGTCTAACTTGTGTATGGCTTCCCCCTTGTTCTGGACACAACAGGTAATTCCCATTCCTACCGTTAACAGTCTTTAATTAACAACCAATGTCCTCATTATTTACCTATATCCAGTATCCCCAAAACACATAATTTGTATCCATATCCCAATTCAAAGTGTATATTCTAACTTGTACTTACTCCACGTAATTGTGGTCATGAACCAGCAACCTGCATTCACTTCTAAGACTTTAACCAGAGATCATAGAGCATATGTTTGTAACAACCAAACAGGAAAACCTTCATATGTTGAACCAACCTTCTCTTTGTTGTTCAAGCAACACAAGTAAAACCTTAATAGTATCTGAACCCTAAATGGCATAATCCACCATCACAGAAAATTGTAAAAAACTATTATTAAGAACAACAGAAATGACAAAAGGAAGATGTCGTCCCTGCTATGTGTATCCCCCAACACACAGCTTCTAAATTAACTTCCACACTCTATGATGTCTCTTGGAAAAGTAATAGATGACTCCATTGCACCTAGCAAATGACCTTGATGAAGTTAAATAGGAAAGAAAAATAGGCTTGCAACTCATCTCTACTGAACATGGCAAAGGCAGGGACCAAACCTTGGACAAGTTTGTGATGAAATTTGAAAGTCGAGTTAAGTTAGAGAATTCAACCCTGAACTCTATTTGGGCCCTAGTTGTAGTGCTGAACAACTTGACCCAAACTGAATCTGTTTCTGAACTACTGTCACCTAATATCATGGTCCCATATAATTAGGGAAATAGTTGACTAAAATCCAGTTATCTTAAACTCTCCAAATCCAAAGCCTTTTAATGTTCAGTATAGCATAATAAAACAACTATATGTAACATGCTCTGCATGTGGAGTTTCTCACTGTTACTGATTTCTCTCTCTTCTTCTTGCTTGAAGAGAGATGTGTAGATAGTAAGCAGTAGTAAGCACTTATAAGTCACTACGTGCAACTTCTTGCACTTGAGTTTCATCGGCTTAAAGTAATTTCAATTAGTTTAGTGGTCTATACATAAAGTAGTTAGCTTCTCAAGCTGGATTAGAGCATACTATTATTTCTAGCATGTTGGCAAAGATGTAGACAAGAGATTACAGAAGATCTGTAGGATAAGGCTGTTACAATCATATTTCCGCTAAATATCTAGAAGATCTTGTTAGTTATGAAAAATACAAGTCCATATAGATTAAACCTGGAATCCATTGTTTTCATAAGTAAGATGTCGATAAGTTGGATCTGTAGAGAAAATTCAGGAATGACAACAGAATAAAGATTGCAAACTTGGAGCATCAGTACACAAAGCAAGGTCTTCGAGTTAATATAAAGTGGGGAAAGTACTTAAAATTAGAAACAACTCAGGCTGCTCGTGTAGAATAACACAGCTACATGTTTGTCAGTCATGTAGATAAGTTTTTTTTTCTCTCTCTCTTTCTTCAGAAACCTGTATATAGGGGTGAAGAAGAAAATTTGTACTCAACTTTGCTGTATTTTCTTTAACATAACATGCTGGAGTATTGCTTTATCCTTTGCCATTTCTCCATATTGTTGGTATTTAAAAAAAAAGGTTCTTTTCTATATTTACACCCAAATCTCCTGTATTTCTAGATTTACCCCTCAAATCTTGGTATTTCTAAAAATACCCCTAAATCTCCAACTTAGAATAAATCTACCCCTCCTTTCTGCCGACATTGAATTAGTAACAGTGAATGAGTGGATTTCCAAAATCACCCTTAGTTTCACGCAACTAGTTCTTCCCCAAATTGAAACTAGGTCTCACTCGCCTTAATTTTCCCTCAATCACTTCACCGAAGTTACATCGAAGCCACATTGAAATGTTCATCATTCTCATGAATATATGGAGATCTTGGGAGGATTCTGTTTTTCATTTCTCATGCTTAGGTGTTCATTAATGGAATTGATCATACTGCAGAAAAATCACTTTCATATCTCACAAACAATTATATTGTTTATGGGTTTCGTTCTAGTTGATTTTGTACTTTAATTATGATGCTTAAGAATGTAGTTTGGGGAAATCTGATTACAATATGAATTTTGATTATGAAACTTCATGCTCCTTACACAGTTGGGTTATGTTGAGATTGTTTGTGTTGACTGTAAGATGATGTTCATTGAAAATAAATTTAATCAGTTCCAATTCAATATTTAACATGCACTTGTCTGTATTTTTATTTGATAAGCAATGAGGAAGGAGAAGCAGTGAGGAGAAAGAAGAAGCGGTGGGATCAGGTTTGGTTTGAAGGAATATATGTTTTGGTTGGGGTTTTCTAATTAACTTTTGTTTAATACGGAAATCGAACCCAAGACCTTGGGAGCCATATTGGAACCTCCCAACCATCCAAGTCACCCACAGTTTCCTAATTAACATGGTTATTAGATAGTTAACTATAAAGTAATAGTTTAGTCCAAAAGAAATCTTAACCATTAATATAAAAGAGCACTAGGGAATATACTGGGCATATTCCCTAACTTTGAGAAGTTAAGGGTATATTTATCCGAATTCGGTTATTTGAGGGGCAATTTAGAAATATCAAGATTTGGAGGGAATTTAAAAATATGGAAGATTTGGAGGGCAAATAGAGAAAACCTCTTTAAAAAATTTGTAATAATCATTTTTTTTTTGTATGCAAGATTTTATAGGAGGCCCACCTCATTTGGATTTGAAATATATATATATATATATATATATATATATATATATATATAAACCTCTTAACTATTCCATCTCTTTAAAATCTATATACATCTCATCTACTTTTTCTTCACAATAGCTTTAAAAAACGAAAATAAAAAAAAACTACAGAGAAGAAGAGAAGGAGAGGGACGAGGTTTTGAGTTTTTTCTTGGATTTAGGGTTTATAATCTTTTCTTCGACGGATCGGCAAGCATCTCTTTCCTCAATTATTTTCTAAATTTTTTTTTAGCTTGTTCTTCATTTTCAACTCATTTTTTTCCCTTACATAGAAATAAATAGTAGAATTCATGTTTAATATTATTAGAGATTTTTTTTAAAAATTTTTTATTGTTATATTCTTATTCGGGAAATGAATAAAGGATTTACAATTCTAGGATCTATATTTTTTAATCTTATTTATTTATTATATTTTCCCTCCATGATCTTAACATTATTATTGACATTAGTACTATTAATTTCACATAATTTTTCGTACAAATCAGAAGATAAAAATTTTGATTTACATAATATATAAATTTATCTTTTACTCATTTAGAAGTATTTATTTAAGAACTTGACTGAAAACTGAAGTTTACTTATTATCTGCATCACCTATGACAAGAAAAATTATTGGTTGTATTGGTTAGTGGCTTTGGACAATGATACATGGGTCTGTAGATTGAGTCCTGGAGTCTTTGTATTTTTTCACACATAAATGTATTTTGGGTCGGTTTGAACTCGAACCCGACCCAGTTCGGACCCACTATTAAACTAGACCCATTTGGATCCACGATATAGTAATACTCGACCCAATTGGGTCTATAACTCCTCAAACCCGACCTGTTTGGACCCGTTACTAAATTACAGACCCGTTATCCATTTTCTAGACCCGTTTGGGTCTATAACTCCAAATTACAGACCCGTTATTCTTTTTCCAGACCCGTTTAACCAAGTTGGGATCCAATATCCTATTTTAGACCTGTTTAAGCCTCTTTCTCACTAAAATTAGTTTTGCAGATTTATATGGAGTCAAATTTAAAATTTGTTTGGCCTGCTTGACACTAAACAAATATGCGAATTAGTCATTTTTCGTTTATTAAGATGATTGATGATATTATTTGATCTATTAATGCTTATTGGATCACCTGATGCTATATTTTGGTCACCTAGTGACGTTTAATAAGATTGATTGTGCATGAAAACGACTTCTGTAAAAATGTGATTTATAAGCGTGCTTTCATAGCATGGCTATGCTCTCGATATCGATATCCCGATATGAGATGTGATTTATAAGCGTGCTTTCATAGCATGGCTATGCTCTCGATATCGATATCCCGATATGAGATTTTTTTTCCTTGGCTATTACTATTATAATAGCATGGCTATGCTCTCGATATCGATATCCCGATATGAGATTTTTTTTCCTTGGCTATTACTATTATAGCATCGACTAGACAATGCACCCATCTTGATTGGACATATTCTGGGTCACAGTTATTTCTTATAGTTTTACGAAAGTTGTTCCACGGTAATACTATGGTTAATACACAACATTTCATGCACAGTTACTTAGGTTAAACAGACAAACATGGGGGTTAATAAAGGAGAATTGGACGGAGAATATAACATGAATATAAACGGGCTTGTGCGCATTCTTGATATCCTGGTTTATATATATATGAGAACTAAGGGTCCATCCTGACTTGAAGCCGTGTTCCCAGGATGGTTTACGGGAAACTGATTTATATATATGAAAATATTCTTCTCTAATTCAAATAACATCTAAAATAATAATAATACGCTTGTGTGTTTGATGATGGACATTATTTTGATCTCTATGATTTGCATTTCCTTTTATCATTATTAATTTAGATTTTCATCTTTTCT